CCCGTCCCCCTCATCTCCTCAACACTCCTCACCGACGAAGCAAGGTCATCCAAGTACGTACACCTCAACACGGGGGTAACATGTATAAACCCCTTGATTTTCTCGTGAGCTGTGAGGACAGAGGGACAGGTGAGAGGGGGGGATTTGAGGGGGTCGGCCATGTTCTTTCTTTTAGTGTGAAGGAGTGTGAGGTGTGAAGTAAGGTGTGAAGGTGGTGGGTGATTATTTGTGGGGGGTGGGTGGATGGTGGTGATGGGTGAGTTGAAGGGAAGGGTGGGTGATGAGATTTCAGTAGACGCAGAGTGGGAGGTTTGGATTGTGTCGTTGTGTTGGTATGTCGTTGTGTCGCTGTGCACAACTAAGTACCTTCGAGGAAGTCAACTTGTAGGTAGTCTAAGGTAGTGACTAGAGTACCATGTATAAGTCGTGATATTGAGTGGGTCCAGTGTCTATGGCGAATACCCCAACCCGTGCCAATCCATTTGACAGCTCCGATTACCTCATGGGATTTTAGTCTGGCACGCCGATAACGGACGAATCGTGAAATGTCAGGGGGGAAAAGAAAGAAACCCTGTTTATAAAACAAAACCAAAATTCCGAACAAATCATAACTTTTATATCAATTCCAGATACCAAGCAATCAATCTCCCGCGGGGAATAAAGTATTATACAGAGCGCCAGATTTTCATCATCCCAGTATCCGAAATAAAAAACCCACAACCTGCATAACCCGGTCCCACCCACATACAAATTCATTACTTTTGGTTTTCTGGTCGGAGGGAGCTGTGAAGAATTAGTAAGACGTTATCGTATTTTAAAAGAAAGAAAACATACCGAACAGCCTTTCCTGCTCTCCAGATCTCCAAGTCACGGATCTCCTTCATCTCAGCCTCATACTTTTGACGGTAATCAGGCTGCGAGTTGAAGGTGAGGGATCTCTCGGTCTCCTTTCCAGTCTTAACAGAGTCATATAAGTCATTGAAAACTGGCTTCAAGGCATCCTTGAATTTTCCGCTCCAGTCAATGGCACCACGACGGGCAGTGGTCGAGCATGCCTCGTACATCCAGTCCATACCGTTTGCACCAATCAATGGGTACAAACTTTGTGTGGCCTCCTCGACGGTCTCGTTGAAGGCCTCACTTGGACTGTGACCTTGCTCACGGAGAACCTCGTATTGTGCAAGGAACATACCGTGGATACCTCCCATCAAGCAACCACGCTCACCGTACAAGTCGGAGTAGACCTCCTTCTCGAATGTTGTCTCGTACAAGTATCCACTTCCGACACCGACACCAAGAGCAATGGCTCTCTCCTTTGCCTTACCAGTGACATCTTGGAAGACGGCGATGGAAGAGTTGATACCACGGCCCTCACGGAAGAGAGTTCGGACAGTTCGACCAGATCCCTTTGGTGCAACGAGGATAACATCGACATCGGTAGGAACGTCAACCTTTGTCTGGTCTTTGAAGACTGGAGAGAAACCGTGGGAGAAGTAGAGGGTCTACCAGATAATGTTAGCTGGTAATACTGTCGTCAATTGAAACGGCCAAAGCGTACCTTTCCCTTGGTGATTTGGGGCTTGAGGGCTGGCCAGGTCTCACTTTGAGCAGCATCACTGAGCAAGTTCATGATGATGGTTCCTCGGGAAATGGCCTCGTCAACCTCGAAGAGAGTCTTTCCTGGGACCCATCCATCCTCTTGAGCATCCTTCCATGATTGACCGTTCTTTCGTACACCAACGACAACGTTGAGACCCTGATCACGCATGTTCAAAGATTGAGCATGACCTTGAGATCCGTATCCAATGATGGCCATTGTGTCGTTTTTGAAGTATTCCTATCACACGATATCAGATTCCGACGAAATATCCTACGGTGTAGATATGAGTAAGTACCTGGAGCTTGGCTGGTGGCCAGTCGGCTCTCTCTATAATGGGAATCAGCACAGCAATTGCGTAGTTTTGAACGAGGGCACAAACCGTAGACATCCTCCTTGACACCGGCAAAATCAATGGTCTTTACACCTCGAACTTGTTGGCTGGAAACAGCTGGTGCTGCTGCCCGGACGGCGGTTGGTCTGGAGGAGGCTTTGATAGCAGATACAAAGGTTCGACGAGCTGGGGCATTGAGCTGTCTTGCCAATGGCGAACGGAGAGCTTTGGAGAGGGTTCGGGATGCCATGATTATGGGTTGAGGGGAGAGCTGGATTGATGGGGAATGGAAAAGAAGAGGATGATGGTGTTGAGAAGTGACTGTTTTGCAAAAAATTGAGCTGGGGTGGTATGCCGACAGCGGAGCAGACACGCATCTGCCAAGTCAGGCGGTGGGCGCTGCGCTGGAGGCGTCACCGTTGGGGGTGGTGGGGTTCAGGGCTGTCAGGGATACATTTTTGGCACTACTGACGCTAAGCACGCACGGCCGGTGGGCTGTCTGATACTTCCAATGGTAAATTTACTAGCATCAAGCCCGGGGATTTGGCAGTGTGACTAATTGCGACGAGAAGACTTTTGACTGGAGGAGAGATCGAGTGGAGGTTCTCTCTACTCGTATATGCTGGGTCTTAGTATAAAATTACGGAGCCCCTCATCATCTGTATGAGTAGATAGCAAAAGTATGTCGAAGGAGGGGTGAGGGGTAGCCAACAGGGAGAAAAATGTATGGAGTACGAGTATATGAAATCCTTGAAAAAACCATCCACAAAAAGATTCACAGCAAATTTCAAGACTATTCATATGCAAATTATATTAACTCTGCCAAAGCACCATATCCGTGATTTTGATGCTGTATGCTCGCATTCTACGCTTCAGAATTCCAGAACGTAAAAAAGACCACGGTATGTACTCCATCTTCCAAATCACAACGCCTCATTATGCCATATGCCCATTTCGTCATTTCAATTATCCTCTAAATGCGTTTCTGTCGTTGGTCATACAGGCACACCTCTAGTCTCTGGTCTTAAGAACTTTGTCAAAGGACTCCGATTTAACCATTCCACCACCCATGGATTGACGAACGTTGCGCTTGAAGCCCTCGCGGTTGGAACGGAGGTCATCGGCGGCTTCCTTATTGAGAGGGTCAGAGGCATTAGGTTCAAGAAACAAGAACTAGAAGATATGCGTTAGTCAACTTGTACTATCAGGACTGGAAGACATGTCTGCTATGCCTACCTGAAGACCGACAATGACGGCTTGAAGGTTCAAAACTGGCTTCCAATCCTCTCTCAAAATGTTCAAGCAGACTTTGCCTTGGAGATCGATATTGGGATGATAAATCTTGTCTTTGCAGAGCACCTTGGGGGCAGCGTGAGGAAATTCCTGGCTGATTTCAAAGGTGAAGTGAAACAGGCCGCCCTTGTACATTCCCTCGTCAGGTTCAATGGTCAAGTCAAAGTTGAGAAGATCATCCTTGTTCTTGAATGCAATCTTCATTGTGGAAGGGAGAGACAGTTCAGTGATATCTGAGGACCTTAATTAGCCAGAGGAACAGAGATCCGATCCGAGGCAGTTTGAATCTCACCCTTTTGGACACGAAGATGGGCAGCTGTGACCTTCTTGTGGCGAATACCCGCAGCGGCGTCGGCGTTGGCAGCCGCCTGCTGCTTCTGTTTCTGTAGAGGAGGTTAGTTCTTGTGCAAATGGCGGGGAAGTCGGCGCAAGACAGGTAGGAATCAAATCGGTGGCGCGTACCATACTCCAAATGGATTTCATATTGGCGGTCGTAGTTGGTAGTCGTTTCGTAGGTGAGGGTATCCAAATAGGCAGAAAGAAGGTAAGGTAGCAAGCAGCAAGCGCAAATATGAGGTCGCCACCGACGGTGGTTGTTGGATGTCGGTGAGATGGCGAGGTTCTTGCTGTTGTCACCAAACTTATCTGGTGGATGGCAAGGCTCAGATTCGGCCGATGAAGTATTTCAGAAGGCCCCGCCTCTTGGCATAGCCTTACCTGTGAGTAAACATACCGCGCTTCATCCCTGTCATGTACTACCGTACTATCAAACTAAACTATCAATTCTCACAACAAAAGACAAGAATTGCCGATCTACTCATTCCCGACTTTTGATAACCACTGACATCATGACATCCAGGCAGTGAATCTCTTATCGTCAAAGAGCTGCTGCAAGCAATTTTCCTTCGCAGCTCAACCAGCCACTCTTTTTTCAAGGGGCGACCTGCTCTTAGTTGCTCTCTCAGTTCCTTAGCAGCCAAAGAGAGGTGAACTTGAGAAAGTCTACCAGGAAACCCAACCAGGCGTCAAAAAGTTGTATAACATCAAGACAAAATAGAATCATCGTCATCATGTATTTTCATTTTGGGTATTCAATTTTCGAAACAAACTGCTACACTAGAAATCAATCATCTAGAAAAAGCCGCTCGACGACTTGTAGAACGCCATGATGTGCAAATGCATAAACCCCCCCGAGTACTTTTACAACATATGGCCAGATCCATCATTATTTTTTCCACCCCCGCAAGAGGAAGATTGATTAGACACGCTTCGAACGGTCTTGAGGAACCAAATGTTCCAAGCATGTTTAGCGTCTGGCGAAGCAGCACATGATTCCAGATCGTCCCAAGAACCACATACATCCCAGAAAACGGATCACAGACAGGACAGCTGTCGCCCACAGGAGGTATTCGAAGAACTTTTGGGTTCTGGCACTAGCATTATTCTTTTGCTGCAATCGTAGTTAGCACCAAGAAGATCAGAAAAAGGAAGTAGGAAACTTACGCTGAAACCAAATTGATCAATGCTGTCACTGGTAATGACAACAGCGAGCAAGGCGTTTGAGAAAATCCAGGAAATCAACAACTTGGTTCTGAAAGATTTGTAGGAATCCTCAAGCGTTTTGCTCTCGTCTTCCGGTTCAGGGATGAAAGGTCGAAGAGCACGTTTTACAGTAGCCTCAAACTGACTGTCAATATCCTCTTGTGGTCTGTCAATTTCTTCGATGACTGCTGCACCTTTACCGTCGGTCTTGCTTGTTTTCGCTGAAGGAAGTGCCTCGGCCTTATCAGATCCTTTGGTTCCCCATGATACATCGTGCCAATTGCTGAATGCGTAAACCATCAAGATGTTGATGTAAGAAGACATAAGCAAGAGGTATTGACCGAAAGATGTGAACATGTGCCACGGGTCCAGGTACATAAACGAGGCAACGAAGTATAGACCAAATGTGGCTGCCAAAGCAACAATGATAATACCTCCACTACCGTTACCACTTCCAAAGAAACTCTTGAAAAATTCAGCGGTACTGTCGGTGTTGAAAGTGGTCGTGGTGATACCGTTAATAGCCAAATACAGAGACAAAACGATCAGGTAGGCGTTGATCAAACCGAAAATGACGAAAGATATGAGGTAGGTGAGCTTAGAACCCTTGGGTCGGTTACCGAGAGCGAGAATAAATTGCGTGACCAGAAATCCGAGATAGAGATACTTGAGTACGGTGTTGATGATAGGAGTCGCGGTGTCCCCGAAAGGCCAGCCATGCTTGTCAGTACCCGGGTCATTAACATTATCTCCTTTCTTGGGAGTTCCGACCAAGTCCATAATAACGGTAGTAGTCAACCAGAAAGACGCCAACATGAACCAGGATAAGAACACACTGAACATGTTGTAGAAGAATTGGATATGAAAGAAGAACATGCGAACAAGATTGTGACCACTCTTGTACCTAAAAGTTGTTAGCGATCTGGTTGGGATTGACGTGAGAAGGGACTTAAACTCACATTCTTCCGAAATGCATAATGGCGTACATACTGGCTGCGAATGAACCGTTGAGCCATCTGCGACGTTGACCAATAAACTCAGCAGCTCCTTCGGGTACATCAGTCTCACCCTTAGCCGCCTTGATATATGTCAAATGCCATTTTGATCCAGCCTTCGCAACCAACTCGAAACACAAAATTCTGTCCTCGGCCAAGAACATGTTCTTCTTGAAAATGTTCATTCCCTCGATACCCTTCTTTCCAAGTTTCTTGGATAGTGTGTGATCACCATGGAAGTATTGTTCTAACGGTCTTCCCATGATCGCTCGGAATCGGTATGCAGAGAAAGCACCAGGCAACACACTAACATACCCAAAAGAACTCTCAAGCGGCTTATCCAAAATATTACTGATTTTGTATTCGAAGTTCTGACCGGCAACGAGCGGATTGAGTAGCTTTCGGCCGCCCTTACCTAAAATACACGGATTAGAATATGATCAAAAGTTAGGTAAAGTTTACTGCGTACCCAACATAGCATGAATCTCACCACATGCTCCACCAAGATCCTTGTCGTTGTAGAAACCTTCCCAGAGGGATAGAAGTGATTTTGGTCCAGGCTTGGTTCCAGCATCCAGAAGAATGCAGACTTCAGGATTCAACAAACGACCGAAAGCATTGAAAAGCCATCTGTGGGAGTTGATCTTCTTGGTGTTCTTTTGCTTCAAGCAGAACATCATCTGTACCGGGGGGAAGGTGTTTGCACTATCCTCCGTGGGTCGGATGAGCTGCTGGTTGGCGGTGACGGACAATTGAGTAGTGTACTCGAAAACATGTGCGACAGTCTCCTTGCCGTCGACATCCTTCTTCATGACACCGTCTTGGTAGATACCGATCGTGGCCAGGATATCCAATGTATTCTTGTCGCAAGGATCAATACCATCGAAAACAAGGCATACGACAATCTTCTGCCAGGCCGGTCCACCAACGTTCCAGAAATCTGACTTCTTAAGGTTTACGATATCACGAATATTTTGCATGACACCGTGGAGGGTACGGGCGGTCAAAGTCTTATCCTCATTATAGTAGGTGATAGCAATGAGCAACTCGGTGTGGCGGTTGTACATGGCAGGTCGTAGATTGTAACCATTTTTGAGAGTGAAATCGTCAGGGTCGCAAGTAGCTGCTGTGTATCGCATGTGAGTGAACTCCTCGCTGTTTCCCCCTTCAGCTTCAACACGGTATTTCTGCTGGATGGCATTTTTGATGGCTGATGGCACGGGATGATTGACACTCAAGACGCTACCCTGTACCAGCTTAATCTTTCTCGTAGCATATCGCTTCAAACCACCTGTTGCTGGCGCTTGTCGCTGTTTCCAGGCCTCGGTAGAATCTGTATCAGCTCGGGAGTATGGAGATGCGACCCGTCCATAGGGATCCGAGTCCAAGGGATATGTAGCCGAGTTTTGACCATATTCACTGCTGTATGGCGCTGGTGTTGAAGCATTAGGAGCATAGGACTCAGTCAAACTGTAGGTTGAGTTTGGTCGTATGGGAGGAGTGGCGGTTCGAAGGGTATTGTTGTCGTAGGGACTAGCAAATGGCCCAGGGGCTCCGTGCAAGAGCGGCTGGTTACCCTCCTCGTCGTCGTGAGGAGGCAAATGGTACTGAGATTAGAGGTTAAGATTGGCTTCACTCGATGAATTCGATGAGTTGACTTACGCTGCTTCCAGGAGGGAGATCCTGAAGGTTGTGGTCGCTAGGATATCCTGCGTTTCCACCGGGGTGAGCCATCGTTGCGGAGAGTTCTTGTCAGGAAGTATTCGATGTATGAGGATCGAGGAATCGAGGGCTCTGCGATGGTGCAAGATCACAAGGCCCAGAGATCTATTGGGAGATCTGGCGATGTATGTTGGAGATGCAGAAAAAAGGAGGTGAGCAGGATGGAATGTGAAAAGAACTTGGTTCCAGGATCCGCGTCACTGCACGTCAGGGTTGTCTATGCAAGTGGGTGGGAGCTCCCAAGACTACGGGGAACGCAGTAGTGGATGAGGATGAAGATGTTTGAGAAAAGAAGAAGATGATGAAGGCACGCTGGCAGTACAGAGACGGAAATGGTCAAGTAGGGCTGGTATTGTGCAGTGCAACCAGTGGAAGCAGTGCAGCTGTGTTGTTGACTTGGTCTCCGTCTAGGGATTTTTAGCTCAGATTCGTTGGCTTGAGGATTGACATGAAGACTAGCACGGCTGTGAAGACCCCTGCCAAAGAGGCAGTGTTGCGGTGTAAGTGATTGGCTTGCCCGCACTCGCCTCCTGAGTAGTGTACCTAGTGTACGGTCTTCTGCACGGCGTCTCCATGCTCCTCCATACCGTATTTTTACATCCTCACCTCACTCGATCATTTGTTGCTTATCACGATGACCCTTTCTCTTGCATTTGCATTTCAACGGCCCCAAATGCAACTCGGTGACGATGTGTGGTCTGTGGTTCTACTGGTATTTTCCAAGCTGTCAAAAATCTGAACTTACCCGTAACTTTCTCTCACGAGGCGGCGTCCCGTGGCTATGAACCTGCCCACCACATTGAAACAAGCGACCCGCACCCTTGACCAGGACGCTCCTTGAAGCAGATCTGCTCCTCAGCACTCAGCAGCTTCACTCTCTCCTTTATAGCTTCTTCGCTGATCTCGTCTTTGAACACTCAAGTCATTTACTTTGATCTCGGCTTGGATGCTGCTTTTCCAGTCCAGGTGGACATTTCCCAATACATTATTGCCACTTCTCTTTGATGTTGTCCCACCAGCCAAGCCCCGCTTGAGCTAAATATAGCCTGGAGCGAAAATCCGGAGCTCAGGTATTAAGGTTCCAAGCTCGAATGCTTGAAATGTTTCCTTTCAAAGGAACCAGATTTCCCAGCAAAATGCCTGGATAGGTAATGACAACCACGAGCCAAGCGCAGAGATTCATTTTTTGATTATTAGCGTAAGTTGATTCTAAGTATTAAAATGTTCAAAATATCTAGAACAATTACCTTCATTGTTCGATGGTTTTAGAATAATCATGTTGATTATTCCAAACGAATAACATGATAGAATAGTTTTAAGTTAAGGTATGCTAAAATGCTTCGTAAAAGAAGTCTCTGCCACCTTTTCTTGACGACTAGGAGCCTTCGCCATCGCTTCCCCGGGGTCCAAGGTTCAGCTTGTGGCGTAAATTTCCGAGTCTGCTGGTAAATAAACTTGACACAGCCACTGAAATATGGGAGATTTCTAAAATATCCGTTTACGAAGTATTTTTGTCCTCTACTTGTTCATTTCGTATTCATGTTGGTCCGATCCGGGTTCCCATGGGTCGTTTCTACTGGTATACAATCAGTGCGGATCATGTAGATTGAGCCTCTGTTTATATATGGTGTTCATTTGATGATAAACGTTTCCATGTCTAACGAGTCGCGACTCTAGTTCCTGATTGGCGTTTGATCACCGTAAACGTTGTTTTGAAATGTTGTCGTTACTTCATAGACTAGCGAAAACGGGATTGTGTGATGAGAACTAGTTGTTACCAAGTAAATAGAATGGGTTGTTTACTCAACTAGCGGGTGTTCATCATCCAAAAAACGTACTACCACAAACTACTGCACAAACACACCTTCAGAACTCCTTCCAAAACTCAAATCTCTCCAAGCTGAAATCGGCTCGTTTACATTCGGATTCGAGTTTGTCAACGTTCTTGTCAACACTTCGTATTGAATTGCCTTAGGTTATTGTCAGCCATAGGTAGCATGGAAGGGCAATTGCTGCTGTGATATGATGCTCACTTACTCCGATTCTCTGAACTGAGTAAATACCTAGTGCTTATTGGCTTCGTATCTGACAACGACCAACACTGCTTTTACGTAGCACTCTTTGCAAAGATTTTCTCAACGTAAACAAAAAGGTGTACAGGCACATAAGCGAATGAACCAACAGTATCGTACCGAATGCAAGAACTTTGTTTCAGAATTCATTTCATTTCCACTTTCTTCACCGGTCGGTGAGTAAGCAGAATCCTACTATATCTGAATTCTTTTCTGGTTTCCAGATGAAAGGATCACTTAATATGATGCCACAGAAATATCTACAAGCAGAAACATGGACGCTATGGTAATTATGCTGTGGAAATAGGTATTGTCTGCTTACGGGGATAGGAAGTGGCAGCAAATACATCTCTGGTTTTATATTTCTAGATCAACCAAGTCAAGAAAGATCTTTTGGGTCAACCATTTGATTCTCGTTGAGCAATTGACATGTTCAATCGAGACTCCCGGGCAATCACAGATTATCTCTGGAAGTCATCACAACATGAGAGCCATCTATGAGAACTTTCCTGTCCATTGCCAGAATCATCATCAGAGCGAGCTACGTACGACGCGAGAGATTCCAACCAAAGAATGGACAAGATGTTTTGGTTCCAAGTATTTGCCCAGTTCCACAAAACTTTCGAATCTAAACCTGACAATGCCGCAAGGAAAGGTTGGATAGAGAGCGTAGAATCTCCCAAGAGCCAAGAGGACACCAATCACAGTATGCGTCTGGAGATAATTGGCCTTGAGTTCTGCAGTACTAATGTACAGTCATCAAAATAGACATTCGATCGATGGTGTTGTGGCTAGTCACGCCATGAAATCTCTGCCCTACGGAAACCTACCAAGACTTTGGAGGTAGATTGCTCGGGGCGATGTGATGCCTCGCATGGCATGGGGGCGCAGTCTAGTCGAGAGCTTACGCATCTTGTCTTGTACGGAAACGTCGCACACCATTCAATGGTTTCTGGTGCTCATTCGTAGGAACCCGTCTCTTTGGAGAAGTGAAGAAATGAACATCCCATATCTCCACAAGCGCCAACACCCGTCCAACAGGAAGGGTTAATACCGTAAATTACGAAGCTTTTATCTGTCTGTCGACCGAGTTCGGTTCAGAAGCGCGATTGGGGGGATGCATTGACCCCCTTAAATTAGATATCAGCCCAGAGGTTCCATCCTTCCAAGGTTTGCATTGGAATCCCTGGCTGGGGTAAAACTCCCGGGCGTTCACGCTGGGAGTCGCGAGAAAGCAGCACCAGCCAGCGGGTACGACTTGAACTCTGCCAGCCAGTGCCAGTGCCAGTGCCAAATGGAGGGCAGCATTCCGCTGGGGACACTACTGTGAATCGATAGCAAAGACCAATGAGCCTATACAATATATACAATATACTGGTAGAATTGAGTGATTCGCAGGCCAAGAATGGATAGTATCATTATACCTTATTTGGCTGCAGATAGTTCAGGAACATCGGTACATCCTCAAGTACAAGTACCGCAGTGCTGTGAGGGAGTGGGAGCGACTGCCGCTTTTCCCATTTTCGCGTATGGAGACTCATATCGGGTCTAGCTTCAGTTAGCTTCAGTTAGCTTCAGCCAAGGTGGAAGCGCCAGTAACTCTCCTTGTTCGCGCCTGCCTTCAAATGAGCTTGGGGTCCACCGCTGAGTCTGGCTGCAGCGCTCGCCCACTCGCCCACTCGCCCACTCGCCCACTCGCCCACTCGCCCACTCGCCCACTCGCCCACTCCATCCGATCACTGTGCTCTCTCGTCTGAACATCCATCACTCCGCCAAGTCAGCAACACCAGCACCAGCACCCACTACGCTGGATTAACATTCAACAGCATCAAAGCACCTGCATCTGCACCGCGACCAGCAAAACCATCGTCGTCGCCCTCTTTCTCGCCGTCCCCCTCATTCTCGTCTTCCCATGTAGCTGCTGAGAAGACGCTCTCTTCTACTCGCCTTCCCACACACGTCCGCTCGACAATCCAGAGCTTTGTTCTCTACCACACTCGTTTCCCCTTCTCTTCTCCTTTCACGACATTGATGCGACCGTAGAGCAGTCTCCCCGTCATACTCGACTTCACGACCACCCACCGGGGACAGACAGCAACTCGAACACATTCACAATACCCTTCCGCATCCTTTGACACACCAGAAAGCACAACCCGTGCTACTTACCTTATTACCCGCCAATTTACCCTTTCAGCATACCTTTGTCGTCGAGCAGGCTCTCTCGATCTCTAAGGCCTGACCTTCTCTCACCATTCATCCTGAGCCTCACCTTCGACGTCAACACGTTGCGACCGGTCACTCGTATTGCCAGGCACTGAGATCTATTGATCAATTCAGGTGTTTGTGAGCGGATATAATCGTAATAAAGACGTTGACGTCCCCTACATAATGGCTTATGTATTTGAGCCAGGTTCGTTGTTCCGTTGCTCCTTTTATCCAAACACTGTTTTCTAATCTTGTTACAGCCCAATTCGGCTCCCTCTTTCGAAGATGTGTGAGTTGTGATGAGAACGCGGTCGTTTCCTGCCCGGAATCTTGCGACAAAGGTCTGGTGTGTGGTCAGATTCCACTCACTTGCGATGTTTGCCAGCATACTGCGTGTGTAGAAGATCCGAACGCTTCAACTTCAACCCTGCCTGCATCACCACGCCGTTCTCCTAACGGGGGCGCAATTGCTGGTGGAGTAATTGGAGGACTTGCCGTCATTGCAATCGCTACTTATTTGGTTTGGAGGTTTTGCATCAAGACGAAAAGGCAGCAATATGAGCAGGATAATTGGGTCGACGAACAGGATGAGCAAACTCAGGCCGAGAAGGACTTCACGATGCGACGAGATGCAAGAGCTTCGACTCACACAGTAGGGTCAATCGCTTCGACTGTTCTTACCCGGGCATCCAATATCATTCAAATCGCATATATTCCTGGCGTTACGAACCGATCCAATCCATCAACTCCTGGTCTTCTCGTTCCACCCGTTCCACCGATTCCCATTGCCTTATCCGCCGCGAGCAGTCCATACGAACAGGAGCACTTCTTCATGCCTGGTGACTTGACCCGTGATTCCACATACTCGGGTGTTAGCGACGCACGTACATCGTATGCTCGAAACAGTGTTGCCTCAACTATTTACGGGAAGAATGCCGTTGTGTCTCCAGTGCCTGCCCAGACTGTTATTAGAGGAAAGGCTGCAGTTGTCAGTGTCAAGTCCAATGGTGCAGCCGGCGAAATAACACCACCCGTCCCAAGTGTTGATTTTAATAAGTATGGTGCGGCACGACCGCCTAGCCCTGCTTTCTCTGTTGGATCTACCTTCTTGAACAGCGCCAATACTGCCACGCAAGTGAAGCCATTGGTTGTGCGAGTCCCCAACAAGAAGCAGCCGCAGCACAACTCAACAGCGTACACGACTTCAGAATATTCAGCGGGAAGACTGCAAGAGGAAAGCTTACTCGACCGTGAGTCGCAAGCAATCACTATCATCGACGATACACCGACGATGTATAACACTCCAAACCTGCAAGGGGGACCATTCCGGGACCCAATTGTCCCTCGGGTGGCAAGTACCAGCTCCCTCAGCGCCATGACGACCAGATCCAAGGAGAGTCGAGCCGAGAAATCCACCCCATTTGGTGATGAACACAAAATCAAGGACTAGTGGACCGAGGGGTCTATCTATACATACACCTACTGTCCTCATTCGCGAGAAGGTATTTACTGCACTCTGGGTTGAGATGATCAACGCAGCATTCCTGACACGACGTCTTCCCTGAGCTTCTTATGTCTATATTGAAAATTTCCTTGGAATTTGGGATTGGCGTACGCGGGAAACCTCAGCGGCCCACGGGCATTGGCATTTTGAATGGAGGCTACCGGCACTCTGGCTGGTATTGATTTAGTAAACACAGAAAATGATATCAATGCTCCACATTTATTGCCCTTTGCAGCACTGATCGCCTGGTGACCATGACTGATGTATAATTGATGGAGTGAAGGCTCAATGCCATGGAGATTAACCGTGCACCATGGCACATCGCGAATGGATCGGACCGTCGAAATGTTGTTGTGATGTGACGGCCACGATACTCTGTGAGATGCTTGTTTTGAGGAGGGAAGAAAAGAAAAAAAGGAGAAGCGATATGAATTATTATCTGCCCAGAAACAAAGTCCCCACTTGCACTCAAGCCTTTTTGGAGAAAGCAAGAACAAGGTCTGTGTCTCGACAACGCAACCCAGCATGGGCCATGGGTACTCATACCGTACCATTGTACTCCCTACCAAAGCCAATGCCCTGGGGAGAAAACGCTGGTCGAGCTGCACAGTGGCTGCAGCGCTGCGAGAGCTCGAAGGGGCGAAGACGGGGACAGACTCCAGAGATGGGGAGGCTGGACAGACTGGTTGGGCTGGTGGATGTGGATGTTGGATGCTGCTTTTGTAGGCGCTTGTTGGGGTGCATTGGAGATGCTGCCTTAAGTACGGATGTACTGTACTGTACTGTACTGTGCTTACTACTGCATTGAAGCCTAAACTTTTGCTCTACCTAAGCTCCAGCAGGTATGCAGATATGTAGGTACGGAGGCACTCTGTACAATATTGCCCTACTCTGCTAGACAGGGCGGGTACCATCTGTAGGGTAACTCTGACAACAAAGTCCAACTCCCATTTTTCGTATCCTCGTGGGTTTGCAGGACGAGCTCCTGTGCTTTTCTACGGCCCCCCTTCCGGCAGCTCCATGGCATGGCCAGCTAGGTAGTTGGTACAGTAGTCAGGTCACCAATCCATCTAGATCCCTCTCCTCCGACTACTCCGTGACCTACTACTTCGACACCACCGATCGTGAGCTTCCATTTTTGCCGCCAGCTGCCAGGCGACTCCCCTCTGCCTGCCCGCCTACCTGTCTACTTTACCTACTCTACCCAAGTACCTGTTCCCTACTCCGTACTTCTGTACCTACTCTGCGATAAACCCCACCACTGCCACCATCACCATCACCACCGCCCCTCCATCTTGAAGCATAATAGATCACTCCACGCTATCTACCCGTGCCAGTGACTTTGCCCATCAAGGTTTACCCTTTATCGTGCTTCTTTGCCGGCCTTTCTCACCCCAAACTTCGCCTCAATCCACATCTTCAGTACGTCCGTCCGACATTTGCCGCCTACTCCCAACACTCCGCCGCCGAAACAACACCCATCCAACAGCCCTGCAAAAGTGATCCCCAGGCGCAGTTACTCGTACTTTATCAACACCACAAAAAAAAAGCTCCTGTACTCGGACGGAGCATCTTTCTGATCTCCATCCCAAATTCCACATACAGTGACCCTCAGGGCTCCCTTCTGCTCTCCCCCATCGCTGCCGACGACACCCTCTCACCTACCCACTACCCACTACCAAGCTCTCTCTCCCTGTCTGCAATCCCCGAGCGAGCTCCTCGTACTATACGGAGTACGCACCGGGAGCGCACGCAGCAGCAGCACGCCTAGCCTAACCAGCACAAGCCAGCTTCGGCCACCCTATCCGCTATCGTGCCCAAAATCCAAATCAAGCGGGAAGTCCGAGCTTCTTGAACCTGCCTGGCCTGCCAAACGCCAAAACAAATCTCCTGCAGATCAACAAGATAGCTGCTGTTACGATCGACTACTCAACTGGTAGACTGACTAGATAGTGCTCACGCTTCCTCCATCGCTTCCCTTTCCGTCCTGTTCATCCCATCTCATCCATTCCTCCGAGTCGTCAAATTTCTTCCTAACTGTCTTCTGTCTCTCGTTCCGCGACGCCCCTCTTTTCCACACAACCTCAAACATGGCGGGCAAAATGGTGTTATACAAGTTGGTAGTACTAGGCGACGGAGGTGTCGGAAAGACGGCCTTGACCATACAATTGACATTACAACATTTCGTTGAAACGGTAAGCAAATCAATCCCCCTTTCCAGCGCCAGTCCATCACCGGGCTTCCAGTCTATCGATGCAAACCCAGTAACCATACTGATTCACCCTTTTCAGTATGATCCTACGATCGAAGACTCCTATCGAAAACAAGTGGTGATCGATGGTCAGTCCTGCATGCTAGAAGTGCTTGACACGGCAGGTCAAGAAGAATACACAGCCTTGCGAGATCAATGGATTCGTGACGGAGAAGGCTTTGTGTTGGTTTACAGCATATCCTCGAGGTCGTCTTTCACGCGAATCACAAGATTTCACAACCAGATACAACGGGTCAAAGAATCATCCTCATCCTCGCCATCATACCCCGGATCACCGCTATCTGCAACAGGTCCTCAGGCGCCGGTTCCAATCATGTTGGTGGGTAACAAGAGTGATAGAGTGACAGAACGAGAGGTTTCCACTCAGGAAGGGCATGCTCTAGCAAGGGAGTTAGGCTGCGAGTTTGTTGAAGCATCTGCCAAAAATTATATCAACGTTGAGAAGGCCTTTTATGATGTAGTAAGACAACTACGACGGCAGCGAACGGCGAACAGCAGTTCGAAAGCGCCCATGACCAGCAAAACAAGTCGATCACAAACTGGAGAATTATCTTCGAGAGATCATGGACGGATATACCGACCTAAAAAGAACAAATGCACCATATTATGAGATGACACATTACGAATCGCAGAATTACAATCCAGCTTCTTGCTATTTCACTTTGCATAATGTTGTTGGCCTTCTCTCAATAACTTCTCTCAGTATTCTATGGGCCGTCTGTTTTTCATAGCCTCCCAATTATCGACTCATATTATTTCCTCGGCGCCCAATTTTTCAACACGATTTGGCGAAAGGAGTATCAAAAAGAGGCACATGGCGTATTTCATGATCACACGACTGGGAACAACTACCAGAGATAAAGATTTCTATTTCCGACACTCCTCATACAAACGGCATTCAGTTTTTCTTCCCTGGCGCATGTTCTTGCTTGTTTTTGGGACCAAGGGCGGTTTTATATCTTCCTGCGAGATTTCACGGCATTTTCAAATGAATTTTTTCAAGTTCAATCTTCTATACAAAGTCGATATCCTGATAGCGAGTTTGATATTTTCTGGTTGTCTTTTTTTCTCTTGGAATTCTGGGAGAGCGTGAAGTAAGGAAGCAAGCGAGCAAGCAAGCACAAATCCATTTCACCATCAATGGTCACATTGAAGGGGGTTATCTATCTGTAAGCAGTCGATGGAATTTGGAATTGGGATAGATTTGGGGTCCGTTTTTTGGGGGTGGGGGGTTAAGAGGGTATTTGGGGAAAGAGAGCAAAGGCCGGGTTAGGTAGGTAAGCCAGAGAGTTGTTTTTTTTTTTTCAAGAGAGACAAAAAAACCCCCCCAAATATAACATTCGCGAGCAGCGAGATGATCAAATGAAAAATCAAAATCCTTTCTTCTTGAATTTATTGTCATCGTCTCCCTGAGCTAAAACAAGAAGAAGTTATCCCCATCTTAATAATTATATTCGTACTTGTCCTTTTGACGACTCTCTTTGTTGTTTGCTATTTTCTGCTGTGGTATTCTTGATTTTTAGCCTCTGTGCTTGAGAAGTAGTTTGGGATTGTACTTTATATGTTGGTGTGTGTGTGTGTGCGCGTATATATGGATGCATACCATTGAATTCTTGTTTTGGGTAGGTTCTTGTTCTGGGTAGGTTGTTAGGACTGGCGAGACGGCTTTTGGGTATGTTGTTGGGCTGTATGGAGGGTATGAGTTCCATGTAAGATTCCCTGGATATTCAGCCTGGGATATTGAATTTATTTTCTAGGTACTCATACCAGCTTGCTTGCTTGCTTACTTGTTGATAAGTAAGCAAGTAACTGTGCCATATAGGATGTATGGGGGTGTGGGTGGAGTGGGTTGACTCGAGAGATGGAATGGTACTGCAAGGTGGAAAGTGCTATGGTGATTACTGTAGCTAAGTAGGTGTCTAGCTTTGGAAGTTGGGAGAAAGGAATTTCTATTTGTTTGTGCACTGGTTTTGTTGTTGTCGGTATATCCACTCCTGTGGGGATATCTGAGGTCAGTCACGTGAGACGTGAGACTGTCTAAGACACCACGCAACACCATACGATATATCCTTAGCTAGTAACACACACTCTTTTAGAACCCTCATACGAATACAAACGAAATATGCTATCCCGTATCACCTCACTATTGTAGTGAAACCAACAGTTGTTTTGTTGTTCACCTACCTAGTTATGGAGGGATGGGAGCTAGCTCTATGTTGTAGGAATTATTGATACTACCAGAGTATAGTGTACAGATCAGCTCGGTTAGGCAGACGGGCGCGGGACCAAAGTTATGATGGGATGGAATGGGAATGGGAAGGGGGATGTGAGGTTCTGATACTGACGTAGGGAGCTACCTCTAGGTTCGATATGAATTGGAATATACTCTATAGTTGACTTAGAAGGATATATTACGGTTTAAACCCTTTCTTCCTACCATAGGTAGTATAACTAGTCGCATACAGTGGGGAGGGGGAGACGCGAGATATTCGACCTTTTACTAGGTACAAATACCTACTGTACCTCATCTCTCCTAGGAATATCAATAGTAACCTTTCTAATTTCTATGGTAGCTAGCTACAAGGAGAATAGTGTAAGATCTCAAATTCTCAAATTCTCAAATTCTCTAAAGATACACTACTACGAAGTATACGGTCCTACGGACTCCAAATAAATCCCGAGATTAGGATGGACAGGTAGGTTTACTTATTAGTAGGGATCTGTTAAACGACTACCTCTAAGCTTTACAAGTAGTTGTTTCCCCCCCTATTTTTGTGATTGCTGAGAATCTGGGATCTCGTTCGTGGTAACGCGAAAACGTGGGAAACATGAAACATGAAACATTTAATGCTTGTTACCTAGCCTAGTGGGAAGAGTCTAGGGGGGGGGTGGGGCACGTATTTGCGG